GTTAAAAGATTTCTTGTACAATAAGTTAGGTCTAGGTCATCTTAGGCGGCTAAGGCCTTCTATGTATCTATATATATGTGTATATGTCCTTGTGAATAATACATCAGATATTTTTTCCACTTTCTCACATGGTATCAGACTAGGGTTAGATTCAATTGTGGGTTTATCTTTCGCCGTTCGTTTCCGGCCATCTCTGGTTCTCACCGCCCAACCCACCTTCTCCGGCGTGTCACGGCGAGTCTTCGCCTGAAATTTGGTCCGATTCGACGGCGCGTGTGGCAGTCACGCGCCACCTGTTCGTCGCAGCCCTGCAAGCTTTCGCCGGCGCGTGTGGCTCACTCCGGACTCCGATCGTCGTGATCTTTTCAGCCGTAGACTCCTCTCATCGGCGGCTACATCCTGGTGTGGTTGGTTTTGGTTTTCGTGACTTTTTTATTTCGGCCTATATTTATATTTTGGACGGTTTCGTGATCTGCTTTGTGCCTTTATTTTTCATCTGCTTCGTGATATTGTGTTGATCTGAGTTTTGGATATGGATCGTATGGATGTGCATTCTCCTATTAGTGTTGTCTTATCAGGGGATAATTACAGTCTTTGGGCTCAGTCTATGAAGAGTTTTTTAATTGGGCGCAAATTGTGGCGGATTGTAACTGGTGATGTGTTGCCACCTGTGCAGCCGTCTCCTTCAGGGGATTCCGGCCCCACACCACAGGCTCTTGCCACCTACGTCGATAAGTTGGAGGATTGGGATAGTAAGAACCATCAGATTCTTACTTGGTTACGTAATACTTCAATTCCTGCTATTCAGGTACAGCTTGCCCCGTTTGACAGTGCAAATGAGGCCTGGAATTTTTTGGCTGCTCGATTTCAGACTACAGGCTTGGCTCACTATTATCAGCTTTGGAGCACCTTGCATTCCACTAAGCAACAGTCGGGTCAATCGGTTAATGAGTTACTTGCACAAGTTCAACCTATTCGGTATCGTCTCCGACAGGCTAAGATTAGTCCGGACCACCTTGATCTTATCCAGATTTTGATGGCTCTTCGTCCAGAGTATGAAGCTATTCGGGCTTCTCTCTTACATCGTCATCCGCTACCTACTCTTGATGCTGCTATTCAAGAGATCACTTTTGAGGAGACTCGTCTTCAGTTGGCCAGGACACCACAGCTTGAGTCTGCATTAGCTGTGCCTACTTCTGCTTCCGCTACATCACATCAGCCTCGGCCACCAGTCTCTGTTTCTTGTGGGCGTTGCAAGAACTCTGGTCACTCTTTTGCCACTTGTCCTAAAGTGGAGTGCCACATCTGCCGTGCTCGGGGTCATATTGCTCCAAATTGCCCAGCCAAGTCACAACGTTCGGAAGGTTCTTCTTCTCGATATCGAGGGTCTCGTGGGTCTTCTTCATCGGCCCCCTTATCTGTTACAGCGGCTGTCACTAATGAGCCTCAGCACTCGTCCTACTCTCTTCAAGATATTGAAGCTATTCTCAAACAGGTTATCCATTCCAATTCTACTATGTCTGCTACTGCAGGTAACCCTCATCGGTACTTTGATTCTGGTTGTTGCAATCACATGACCCCTAGTCCACAATTTTTGTCTTCCTCGTCCCCCGTAACTTCTTTACCTCCTATACATACTGCCAATGGTACTCATATGAATATTACTCACACTGGTTTGGTTTCTTCCCCCTCTTTACACCTTCCTGACACGTACTGCATTCCTGACTTGGCCTTAAATCTTATTTCTGTTGGTCAATTGGTTGAACAAGGTCTTAATGTTATATTTTCCTCTTCTGGTGTTCAGGTTCAGGATACACAGACGGGTCGGCTTCTCGGGACGGGTCGCAAGATGGGTCAGTTATTTGAGCCTGAGTCTCTTCATATCCCTCGTTCTTCCTCCTTTTCTGCTCCGGTCATTGATAATAAGTCCAGCTTTCAGTGGCATCTTCGCCTTGGGCATGCGTCTTCGAATAAAGTTCGCTCTTTATATAATAAAGGTCTTTTAGGTCCAGGTCATTTTGAGTCTTTTAGTTGTCTTCATTGTAAACTTGGGAAACACTCAGCTCTTTCTTTTTCTGAGAATTTGTCAACTGCTGATAAACCTTTTGGTTTGGTACATTCTGATATTTAGGGTCCTTCTTCGGTTGCTTCTATGAATGGTTTTCGTTACTTTGTTATTTTTGTTGATGATTTTTCTCGCTTTACCTGGATCTATTTTCTCAAGCACCGTTCTGAGTTGCCCACTATATATATTCAATTTGCTAGAATGATTCACACTCAATTTTCTTGTCCTATAAAAGTATTGCGTACTGACAATGCCCTTGAGTACAAAGATTCTACCTTTTTACAATTTCTTTCTGATCAGGGCACAGTAGTTTAACGTTCATGTCCTTATACTTCTCAACAAAATGGACGGGCTGAACGCAAGCATCGTCATATTCTTGATACTATTCGTGCTCTTCTCCTTTCTGCTCAGTGTCTTGATCGTTTTTGGGGTGAGGCAGCCTTGACTGCTATTTATGCTATCAATCGATTACCCTCTTCGGTTCTTCGAGATATCAGTCCTTTTGAGAGGTTGTACGGTCAGTCACCTGATTATACTCAGTTACGCCCTTTTGGTTGTGTTTGTTTTGTTCTTCTCCCATCTCATGAGCGGACTATATTAGAACCTCGAGCTCGTCTGTGTTGTTTTTTGGGTGTTGGGGTAGAACATAAAGGGTTTAGGTGTTGGGATCCTATTGCTAATCGGTTGCGTATTTCGCGTCATGTTACTTTTTGGGAGCATACTACTTTTTCTTCCTTGTCTAAATTTCACATTCCCTTTGATTCGTCGTCCCCTTTCTTCATGTCCACTACTTCGGATCTCTTTCTGGATACTTGTCCTGACTCACAGCTCATTGACACGCCTGTCATGCCTCCGTCTTCTGGAGTGGCTCCACCTGCGCATCCTGAACCAACGGTTCCTGTTGAGTCCTCTTCTGATTCTGTCCCTTCGCCCACCATTGCTCACAGACGATCAACCCGTGTAAGTCGTCCCCCTTCTCACTTACTTGACTATCATTGTTTTTCGGCCATTCTCTCTCATCATGAGCCTAGGTCTTTTCGTGAGGCGAATGCTGATCCATTGTGGCAACAAGCTATGTATGAGGAATTACAGGCCTTAGAAAAGACTCATACTTGGGATTTGGTGGATTTACCTACTGGCAAGACTCCCATCGGATGCAAGTGGGTGTATAAGATCAAGACAAATTCAGATGGATCTATTGAGCGCTACAAAGCTCGTTTGGTTGCTAAGGGTTACTCACAGGAGTATGGCATAGATTATGAAGAGACCTTTGCACCGGTTGCTCGTCTTACTACTGTCCGGTGTTTACTTGCAGTTGCTGCTGTTCGTCGTTGGTCTCTTCTACAGTTAGATGTCAAGAATGCCTTCTTACATGGTGCCTTGTCTGAGGAGGTTTACATGACTCCTCCTCCTGGATCATTGTCATCTGGGAAAGTTTGTCGTCTACGTCGAGCTTTGTATGGCTTGAAACAAGCGCCTCGTGCTTGGTATGCCACGTTCAGTTCTGCATTGTTTCAGTTTGGTTTCATTACGAGTGATCACGATTCTGCTTTATTTCTTCGGCGCTCCTCCTCCGGGATCATTATTTTGCTACTCTATGTTGACGATATGATCATCACGGGGGATGATATTACCGGTATTTCCAATTTGCAGGATTATCTTCGTCAGCATTTTGAGATGAAGAGTTTGGGCCAGCTCCGCTATTTTTTTGGGTCTTGAGATCTCTGATTCGTCTGATGGATTCTATTTGTCTCAAGCCAAGTATGCCTCTGATCTTCTTGCTCGGGCCGGTCTCACTGATTGTCAGACAGCTTCCACACCACTTGATTATGATGTTCGTCTTACTCCACTTGATGGCTCTCTTCTTGAGGATCCTACGTTATATCGTCAGCTTGTTGGGAGTTTGATATACTTGACTGTCACTCGGCCTGATATAGCTCATGCTGTTCATATTGTGAGTCAGTTTATGGCTGCTCCACGAACCACGCATCATTCTGCTGTGTTGCACATCCTTCGCTATGTGAAGGGCACTTTATTGCATGGTTTACACTTCTCGGCCCATTCTTCTTTGACGCTTAGCGGTTATTCTGATGCAGATTGGGCTGGAGATCCTACTGATCGTCGTTCTATTACTGGGTACTGCTTCTTTCTGGGTGATTCACTTGTCTCTTGGCGCAGTAAGAAGCAAACATTGGTTTCCAGATCGAGTGTTGAGTCTGAGTATCGTGCTCTTGCTGATTCCACCTCAGAGTTATTATAGCTGCGTCGACTACTTACAGATCTTGGTGCACCTCAGTCGGCATCTACTGCTTTACATTGTGATAGTCAGAGTGCTATAAAGATGTCTCATAATGATACCTTTCATGAGCGTACCAAGCATATTGAGATTGATTGTCACTTCATTCGACAACATGTAATATTAATGACTAAAGAATTTTCTCAAGATGCTTGTTCATCCATTTAAAATTCTCAAAAAGAAGTTCGGTTGAGCTCACAAATTCACTCATCATCAATTGAAGATTATGATATTTTTATTATTTTATGCATCCACGTAACCTCTTTTGTATGCCCAATTAACACAATTAAATTAGAACTATCTAATCTACTAATATAATATTTAGGACCACATGACATTGCAGATTGAGAAACAAATATCTAACAAGAGATGTTCATAAAGTTATATGCAGAAAAAAAAAAATAATAAATAATTGAACACACATCTCATGTTTTTAGTATCTCCATCAAATTCTCCGCAAATACACAAGAAAACCCTATAGAAATCTACATCACAATCATCATATAAAACTTCCAAATTTTCGCAACACTATAATTAGATTTTCAATGTTTTTTTTTTTTTCAACCAAACACTTGCATAAAGAGAAATAATAAATTAAAATAAAAAAAAAAAATAAGAAAATAAATCCATCCGAATTCTCTAAATAGCAAGATCAGGCCATCCGCCGCCGCCGCCGCCCCAGCTGCCACCGCCCTCCCCGCCGCCGATGTTCAAGAATCCATCGGCCTGAGGGTCCACGCTCTGACCCGAGCCCGGATCGCAAAACAGATCGCTCGTCTGCAAGGTGGGCCCACCGGTCCCCAGCCCATCAAGCAAACCACCGAACTGGCCCCCGCCCGACGGGCCCGCCAACAACGAGCTGAAACTGCCGCTCACCTCCCCCAGATTACCAAAATGCCCCTGCCCGAAATCGTCCAGCTTTAGCGGCAGCGCCCCGCAGTCGTCCTTCCCGACCCCCGTCAAATGACCCAACTGCCCCTGCCCAAAATCGTCCAGCTTCAGGGGCAGCGCCTCGCCCTGCCCACCGGACACCCCGAAATTACCGAACTGCCCCTGATCGGGGCCGTCGCCTTTCGGGGCCAGCGGCGCCTCGTTCCTCTCCTCCGGAGCCGACCGCTTTGCCGCCGCCGAGGCGCGCTTGGCGTTCTTCCTGGACCCGCCGCCGACGGGGATGTTCCTGAGGGCGCCGCCTTTGGTCCAGTACCTCCGGCAGCTCTTGCAAAAATGGCGCGGCTGAGAGAGGTTGTAGTTGTTGTAGTAACAGAATTTGGTGTTGGTCGAGTCGCATCTCGGGCACTTGAGCTTTTCTTGCTCAACAAATTGTGGGTTTTGCGAGAAGCCCTGCATTTTTTTTTAATTAATAATAAAAAGCAAATCTTTTTTTCCTCTTAAAAATGGAATCTTGATTATCAAGATTTGATTTTTAGAGTGTTTGAGAGA